TCTGAAAGTCTCCCCTCCTGCAGCGCTCCTGGCTTGGGCCACAGGCGGGAGCAGGTCTCAGGCCTGGCCGGCTGCTGGCCCTTCACCTCTGTCCCACCATGGATCGCAGGAGGCCTCTGCGAGCTTCCAGGGCTGCCCCCCCTGCCTTCCTGCAGGACAGCCCTCCCTGGTGACCCAGCTCCCGGAGCCCACAGGGCAGGGCCGCGTTGGTGATGTGAGCCTGGCTCCTCTGTGAGCAAGCCGGGCATCCGTGGCCTCCGTCAGGTGCAAGGTGGGATCCGGACGCAGGCTGGGCTCATTAAGCTGGGGGAAAGGAGGAGGGGAGGAGGGGAGAGGGCACCTCCAGTCCTCCCCCAAGCCCCAGCAGGGAGGGAGTCCTCTGGAGAAGGCTGGAGCCCTATGAGACGAGGGGGACTAAGCATTGGGCTGTTGGGTGTGAGGGTGTTGGGGTGTGTGAGGTGTTGGGGTTGTAACAGTGTCCACTCTGTGCTTTGGGTGTAGCCCAGGCTGCTCGGCCACGGCACCTGAGTTTTAAAATGGACGCGTTTCACCTCTTCCTCTCCCCCTGCTCCTCCCTAGTCTCAGGGAAACACGTCGCCTTTCTTCCCCCCGTCGGCAGAGTTCTGTCCCTGAGCACACACCCACAGGACCCCAACGATCCAGACTTTGGGTTTGGCACCAGAAGATCTCAGAGAGACTGTCCCCCACATTAACACGGGAATCACACTGCAACAGTGGACCCGGGAATGTGGCCTTTGAGCCACCTCTTTAACAGCCCCGGGTCCTGCTGATGGGCGGGATCAGCCTCTGGGACAGGAGCCCCTGTGGGTCTCCTTTGCTGGCAAAGCCACAAACCTGCTCTTTCCTTTTTCTCAAAACCCTGTCCTCGTTGTTGGATAGGCAGCGGGGACAAGGACTGAGTTTTCGGCCACAGGGTGATGGGCTGTGGGTGCTGGGTGTGTAGGGCACCTGGGGTGTGCAACTCAGCTGCCTATGCTCAAGTGGGCTGAGGCTGCACTCAGATCGCCGAGAGGTTGGCCTGTCTCCTGGACAGCAGGCAGGGACCGTCCACACCTGTGGCAGCCAACACTGCCCTCTGGCCACTGGAAGACTCTTCCCCATGTTTTCCATCTGTTTCTTGGGCAAATGCCTGGGCTGCATTTGGACTGGTGATGCAGGGGGCTGGTCAGCCTGAGGATGGTCCATGGACGTTCTCTGACAGCAGGGCAGCTGGCATCACAGCCTCACTGAGGCCTGCTGTCCTCCACTCGGCTGCAGCTGCCTCCAGCAGCGCCACGCGCTCCGCGGCCTGGGTGCCCAGTTCTCCAGATGTCCTTTCTTGGTGCCCTGCTCTGCTGTCTGTTCTCCTCCCTGAAACCCCGCCATCTGCAGGCGGTGCACCCGGACACGCCTGGTTTCTGGCCCTTCCACCAGATTTCCACTCAGGCACCCTGTTCTCCATCCCATGGTCCCCTCCGTGTCCTAGGGACATGACTCCAGGGACATGGCACCTCAGCTCTGAGGGCATGATCAGGGTCTTTAGCTTCACTGGGCTGGCCCTGCTCCCTGCAGTGGTTTTTGCCAATGGTTGTAGCCTACGTCTCATGTGTCAGAGGCTGTCCTCAAACGTCACTCCTTCCTGAGCACCTGAGCTCATAAGCAACCTCTGCAGTGCCCATCGGGAGAGCCCAGGGCACAGATGGGATGGGTCTTACTGCACCCTCTTGCAGGGAGCCAGGCCATGTGGCTCCCTGGGACACCCCGTCCCCACCTTGACCAGGGCCACCATCCTCAGCTGTTGCAGTGGAAGGAGCAGGTTCGAGCTGTCCCCAGCCCCACGCCACCTCAGTGCACAGCTGAGCTCTTCAACTTCCCTGGGAACCACGAGTGGGGACTGCAGAAAGACATTTAAGCCCAGGAGTCCTGAGCTCCAGGTGGCCTTTGTCCCAGTGGTAGACATCGCTGTTCCTCTGTCCCCCCCTCTTGGTCCTTTTGCACCCGTCAGCCTGCCCAGTCCCACAGGAGGCAGTGAATCCCCACCCAGGCCCAGCCTGTGGGAGGCATGGCTGAGGCCTGGACTCCATCCTTTCTGGATGACACCTCGCGGGATGGGAACAAGGGCCTCAGAGGCTGGGGCCCAATGTGACTAATGCCCTCCAGACCCAGCAGCTCCCTCCAGATGGTCCTTCGACTCCTGAAGCTCCCCTCTGTCCCTCCCCCCCAGAAGGTCGGCAGGGACAGACCTTTGCTGCACTGAGTGCACAAGGTTCTGCAGGTGATCTCCACCCATGCTGAGCCAGCACATGTTCGCGTTATCTTTATTTTACAAGAAAGTCAGGGTTTCGGCTGGCTGGGTGGACTGCTATGACCAGCTTTCCCTTACTGACAGCAAGTGAAGATGATGCCCTAGTTCCTGGCCTCTGTGAGGACGGTCTCAGATTCTGGTCTGTTCAGAGCTGAGGTCCTCAGACTGTGGTCCATTAAGGCAGCAGCAGATACTGTGCCGATAGAAACGAACACGGGTGAAAACCGATCCCACCAGCTGCCCAGAGCCCCTGTCGCGGCAGGTTGGTCAGACAGCGCATCGAGTGACAGCTGGGCCGGCCTGCCCCAAGAGCAGGGACCCGCCGGAATGTTTAAGTCCGGAACCCGCTGTGGCAGCGCCACGCCCCGGGGGATGAGCTAGGGCGACGGACGCGCCGCACCAGGGGACGCCATTGGACACCGGACTAGGTTCCGGCCAGACCTGTCGATCCTGTGGGACCTCAGAAGCCCCGCCCGACCCCGTGACCCCGTGACCCCGTGACCCCCGCCCAACCCCGCGAGCGAGCGCCGCAGAGCTGCTAGTCGTCACCGCCCAGGTGAGCGCGCGCGGGGGCCTGTGCGGGAGCGGCCCGTCTGCGCAGTCCAGTGGGCCCCCAGGCCCCGCCGTCCCTCTGCCCCGGGGTCCGCTGGGTCCCCGCAGTCCCTCTGCCCCGGGGTCCGCTGGGTCCCCGCAGTCCCTCTGCCCCGGGATCCGCTGGGTCCCCGGGATCTGCTGGGTCCCCAGGCCCTGCCGTCCCTCTGCCCCGGGGTCCGCTGGGTCCCCAGGCCCCGCCGTCCCTCTGCCCCGGGATCCGCTGGGTCCCCGGGGTCCACGCCGTCCCTCTGCCCCGGGATCCGCTGGGTCCCCGCAGTCCCTCTGCCCCGGGATCCGCTGGGTCCCCGCAGTCCCTCTGCCCCGGGATCCGCTGGGTCCTCGGGGTCCCCGCCGTCCCTCTGCCCCGGGATCCGCTGGGTCCCCGCAGTCCCTCTGCCCCGGGATCCGCTGGGTCCCCGGGATCTGCTGGGTCCCCAGGCCCTGCTGTCCCTCTGCCCCGGGGTCCGCTGGGTCCCCAGGCCCCGCCGTCCCTCTGCCCCGGGATCCGCTGGGTCCCCGCAGTCCCTCTGCCCCGGGATCCGCTGGGTCCCCGCCGTCCCTCTGCCCCGGGATCCGCTGGGTCCCCGCCGTCCCTCTGCCCCGGGATCCGCTGGGTCCCCGGGGTCCCCGCCGTCCCTCTGCCCCGGGATCCGCTGGGTCCCCGGGGTCCCGTCGTCCCTCTGCCCCGGGATCCGCTGGGTCCCCGCCGTCCCGCCGTCCCTCTGCCCCGGGGTCCACTGGGTCCCCGGGGTCCCCACCGTCCTTGCCCCGCTGCGCAGCGAGCTGTCCCCGGGTGTGGGCGGCTGCGGCTCGGAATCTGCGGGAAAGGCCGGAGCGAGGGCAGCGGCCGTGGGGGCTGCGCTGGGGTCGGGCCACCGCTCTGCTGCGACCCTGCCTGCGAGGTGGCCCCCGGCGGCTCCCCGCGGCCCTGGCCTCTGAACCTTCTCTGCACAGAAGACTGAACCCTGGGTCCGGGGTGGCCGGAAGCTGACCCTTGCAGTTGGCATTTTTAAATGACATTTTACTTCCCAGATGGATGTGGGTTCCCACCGCGGGTTTCCCTTTGGGTTTTGAAGTTTGCACTGCGCGGCTCCTGACTGGAACCGGCTGTGATTCGGAAAACAGCCCCCAGCCACAAGCACTGCTGCAGAGGAAGACCCTGTGCTGCAGCCCCCACCCCATGAGGCCAGGCCTGAGGACTGCTGGGCCACCCTAGTGCAGGGGCCGAGGGGCGGGCGCAGGTCCCCGGTGCCCTTGGCCACCTTGTTTGCATGCAGGTGTCCTGATCAGTGATTTTTGTGGGCGGGCTCTGGGGAGCACCATGCCCCTCTGGGGAGTGGCCCCTCTCCCATCTCGTGCCCCCACTTGCTCACACGGCTTCTGAGGCAGATCCTGGTGTCCGGTGTCACTGGTGGGAAGTGAAGGTTCAGGCAGGTGCAGAAAACCAGGAGGACAGGACAGGAGGCAGCCCTTCTGGTGCTGGCCTGGCCTCTAGGCCTGTGTCCAGACGGCCTGGGTGAGGCTGCTGTTGGTGCACCTGTGTCCAGTGACCCCAATCCTCCTGCTCCTCAAGGTGCTGTGGCCTCACTCCTGGGCATGGTAACATTGCCGGCCTCGGGCTGGTCGGGTGCCAGGGCTGTGAGAGCGCCTGGCTGAAGTGCAGGTGTCCAGCCCAGTCAGCACTGACCGCGCTGGTGTAGGAGCCCAGGTGGAGGGCCCCGTGCCTGAAAGGCAGGTTCTCTGGGAGCCACTCTCGCTTTGCACCGAGGTGTTTGGGAGGACAGGGCTCATTGGAGGCCAGCTGTGCTCCTTCCAGATGTCCTGGAGGGGTCATTGCATTGGAGGAAGGCTGAGAGCTGGCCTGGAGGGGCCGGTGCCCTGTGTCTGAGAGGAGGGTGAAGTGGCAGCTGTCTTCAGAATTAAGGTGACCCAGCAGAGCCTCACCCCTGTGTAAGCACAGCCTTCCACATGGACTTCCCTGGGTCCCAGTGCTCTGGGACCTATCCCTGGCTGCCTCTTGCCCTGTCCTCCTTACAGGAGCCCCTCCAGCCCTGTGGGAGCCAGATGTCCCACCGTGGTTCTCGTGGGTGGCCAGGGGCTGTCAGTGGCAGAGGTGCTGCCAACCACCTTCAGGGCCCTTGGCTGGGGCTGGGCTTGGTGTCCCAGGAAGCAGAGTGCTTCCACACAGTGAGGCCAGTGTGGGCCTCTAGTCTCCCTGACGGTGGGGGAGGGACTGGGAAGGTTCCAGTGACTCCGTCTGACTTAGGGTTGAGTGGCTTAGGACACATCTGTAAAGCAGGGTTCAGCATGGCTGTCCTGTTCCCTGAACCAGGGGCAGAGGGAGAATCCCAAGACGCTGAATGTTGTCATCATGTCCAAACACTGCTGTTGGAAGTCCCCCAACACAGTTGGGGTGCTGCTCTGAGAGCCACAAGTCACTGCCAGGTGGAGTGGCAGAGGCGGAGGAGGCTCCCCAGGGGCAAAGGCCAGGGCAGGAAGAAGCGGAGGAGCAAGGGACTTAGTGCCAGGGAGGGTGGCCAGCAGCACGGGGACAGTTTCAGTGAATGGTAGCAAAGTCCAGGATCACGGGATCTCTTGGCTTCCACATAAGCCGTCTTCCATCTGAAGCCACGTGGACAGGCGCTGGCCTCTCAGTGGGTCTGGAAAGAGGCGCAAGTGCCTGTGGGTGGGTCCCCTGGCACCTCTTGAACTGGGCAGTCCCGCCCTGCCTCCCAGGGGCTTGGGTGTGTTTTGCGGAGAGGCAGAAGGAGCTTCCAACTTGAAGAGACTGGCGCCTGCCAGCCGGGTGAACTTTGTTCGTTAAAGCCCTGCTCTGCCGCCAGCTCCCCACGCTGCCTTTGGGGTAGGTTGGAGAGAGCCCCTGTGCCTGCCCTGAGCTGGAGGAGCCCCAGCCGTCCATCCCATGGTGGCAGGGCCCCGTGGCCTCCCTGGCGTTTCTGCGGGCCACCTTGTGTGTCGGGTCCTCCCTGCTTCTAGGCTGTCGCCTGGCTGCGTCACTGCTCAGAACCTGGCGTGGTTTTGAAAAAACCCTCCACCGCAGAGATGAAGTGGAAGGCCCGGGTGCTGGTGTCCGGGGGACTGCCTTCTGGCTGGAAGTCCAGGGCCTCTGGGCGGGTCTTCAGAGATGTCCCAAGCTGTGCTGTGGCGAGGCTGTGTTGACGCTGTGCCCCCCTCCAGCACAGGCCGTGACCCCTGGAGGATGCTCGTCAGTGCCCTGCTACGCTGTGAGAGACTGCCCTTCCCGCGCCTGGCCTGGGCCTGGGCCTCCTCCTGGCCGACTCCCGGGAGACCCAGAGGAAGAGGCCTCCTGCACACGCCCCCCACAGCCCCCTCGGACAGGACTGCCCCTGTGTTTACCCGTGCCCTGGCCTTTGGGGACAGGCTTGCCCTGGTGGATCAGCATGGCCACCACACCTACAGGGACCTTTATTACCGCAGCCTCCGCCTGTCTCGGGAGATCTGCAGGCTCTGTAACTGTGTGGATGGGGACCTCCGGGAGGAGAGGGTGTCCTTCCTGTGCGCCAATGACGTCTCCTATGTCATTGCCCAGTGGGCCTCGTGGATGAGTGGCGGCATCGCGGTCCCCCTGTTCCGGAAGCACCCGGAGGCCCAGCTGGAGTACTTCATCCGGGACTCACGGAGCTCTGTGGTTGTGGCCGGCCAGGAGTACGTGGAGCTGCTGCGCCCAGTGGTCAGACGGCTGGGGGTCCCGCTCCTGCCTCTCTCACCTGCCATCTACCTTGAGGCAGCAGAGAAGCCGGCAGAGGGGCAGGGGCAGGGGCAGCAGTGGGAGTGGGAGTGGCGAGACCGGGGCGCCATGATCTTCTACACCAGCGGGACCACAGGGAGGCCCAAGGGCGCTCTGAGCACCCACCGCAACATAGCAGCCGTGGTGAGTGTGCTGCGTCCTCCCATGCCATCCTGATGGACCTGTGGGTGAGGTCCTTTCTGTGTGGCGTGACTCGGGCCTCAGGGTCAGGGTCTGGAGCTGAAGGCAGGAACAGAGTCCAGGTCTGCTCCTCTCTTGGCCCTCCAGTGCTCTGCAGCCTCAGCCCCCATGTGGGCAGAACGTGGGCTGTCCCCTGCTGGCCTCAGACAGCGGCCGTGTGCACGGTGAAGTGCCGGGTTTCTGTTCTCGCGACTAAAAGGCTCAGGGGTCACTCCAGTTAAACTGGGCTGACTGGGCTGCACGAAATAACCACAAGAGACACAAAGACCTTTTTCTTTGGGGTTGCTGTGACGGCTCCTCTGACCTTAAGGGTCCGCAGAAAGAGCGAGAGAGCACGCGCTGACCCCTTTTACTGAGGAGAAGCTATTCAAATGAGGCAAGGGGTCAGGTTTCAGGGGGCTGAGTCTGTCTTCATGATGTCCACTGTCAGCAGGTTGACTGACACCTGGGTAGGCCACACCCAAGGGCACAGTAAGAGGAGGGGACACACACAAGGCACTTCCATGGAAGATTCTATCCTAAACAGGGCAAGGGGTTAGATTACAAAGGAACAGGTGAGCATAGCTTCACCCATGGGGCTGTAGCAAGACACACCCATTTCTGTGACTGAGCACCTCAGCACCCAGCTGGGGAGTGTAACTCAGTCACCCATAAGGTTGGCCTCCCACAGTGAAGCCTCGTGCAGCGGGAGCAGTAGGATGGGGCCATGGCTGTGGGTGGCTGGGCAGACGGCAGGAGTGCAGCCAGCTCTTCTGGAGGTGTGTGTGGACTGCTCTCCAGGCAGAGAGGCCAGCAGGTGTGCAGGGACTCACAGGGGCTTGGTCCACAGCTGCTCAGTGAGTCGGCCATGCCTGCCACGGCCAATGGGGTGACAGGCCCCGCAGAGCTCAGTGCAGGCCGTGGTGGTGGCTGTCCCTGTCAGGCCTGAGCTCTGCCGTGGCCCATGGCCCAGGCCTGGACAGGGGCCAAAATCACACGGGGTGTTTGCAGAGGCCTTTCCAGGGTTGCCAAAGCCCCAGAGGGTGGCTGTGCCCCCGTCCCTGGTGAGCGGTGAAGTCACAAGTCCTCGGTCTGTTCTCACCTCCCTTCATCAGCCATGGGAGGAACAGAGCTGGCTGTCCTCAGGGCCTCTGACCCTTTCTGGGGGCACACCTGCAGCCTTTGCTGTGTCCCCTGCAGGTTACTGGGCTGGTCCACGCTTGGGCATGGACCAGAGACGATGTGATCCTCCACGTCCTCCCTCTGCACCATGTCCATGGCGTGGTCAACAAGCTGCTCTGTCCACTCTGGGTGGGAGCCACCTGCGTCATGCTGCCTGAATTCAGTGCTCAGCAGGTGAGTCAGTGGGCCCCGGGAGGCCGAGGCAGACTTGCGTGCTGTGGTTCCCGCCCAGGGGCAGGCTGCCCAGACCTGGGGGTTTGGGACAGCCTGTGTTCATGCCGCTACGCCTCTGGGTGCGGAGTCTGAGATGGGTCTGACGGAGCCGGACGGTGTGGGCGGGGGGTTCTGTCTGGAGGCTCCCTGGGAGGCCCATGCTGCGGGCGGCTTCTGGAGGCGGCCTGTGCTCCTGGGCCTTGCTCCTCAGCAGTCTCATGGCCTCCTCTGCTCCTCTCATGAGGCCTGGTGGGTAATCCAGCACCCTCTGCCCATCCTCAGACCCTTGGCTCAGCCCACCTCCAGCCCCCCACCAGGTGGGGTGACAGGTTGGAGCACAGGGAGGAGGGTGGCAGCCACTGTGTTGCTCGGTTCTTGTGGGGGAAGTCCAGCTGGAGGTTCCTCAGTCTCCCAGCATCGTGGTCCTCCCTGGGGCTTCTGGTAGTGTGGGCCCTGGGGCTGAGGTGGCAGTGGTGAGTCCCTGTGCAGGGCAGTGTCTCCAGGGCAGAACAGACACTGCTTGGGAGGGGACAAAGAGAAAGGGCCTTCCTTCCTACAAGAGGCTGGGTTTGGGTCCCTTCTTTCTTCCGTTATCATCTCCATGGAGAGTGGTGCGGTCAGTGCCCTCCCTTGAGCTCGGGTAGGCCTGGCCTGTTCTCCTTGCCCCTGGCTTCCAGGCCTCTGTCCTGTGCTAGAGGCCAGGCGCTCCCTGTGGCGGACCTGCTGTGGTCACATGGGCAGCAGCCCACATCGTCCCACTGTGTGCGGAGTGTGTGGCCTGCACTCCAGAGGCACAGCTGCCCATCCCTCCTCTGGACCAGAGGCCGGGGGCCTTGGAAGTCAGGCCCACACTCCTCAGCTCAGCACGGGTGGCCTCCACTGCCTCTTCTGGGCCCCTGGCATGGAGACTCTGTTCTGGAGTCTATTCTGGGATCTCTGCCCGGGGTCCCTCTGGGGTCTCTGCCCTGGAATCTGGTGACACTCTAGGCCAACTCGTCACATTAGTTCTCGTCTTGCTTTGTTATTTGGCAGTGCTGGGGATGAACCCAGAGCCTCACATGCTAGGAAAGTGCTCTTCCACTGAGTATATTCCCAGCCATTTCTATTTTTATTATTTTCTTTTCTTGGTGGTTCTGGGGATTGACCCCAAGGCCTCCTGGACCCTAAGAAAGTGCTCTACCACTAAATGACATCCCCAGCCCCCTATTTTTATTTTGAGACAGAGTTTTGAAAAGTTGCCCAGGCTGGCCGTGAACTTGCAATCCTCCTGCCTCAGCCTCCTGAGCAGCTGGGCTCACAGGCTGTGCCACTGCACCCAGCTCATTAGCTTATAAAGAGGGTAAAAGCTTACATGTTTGCAACTCTTGACACTTCCTTGGGATTTTCTGAGAACTGTCCAGCCAGAACTCAATATGGAAACAAATCTGACGCTGTGACTGCAGAAGACTGCCACCCTCCGTAGTCCTGTAGATGCCCCTGAATTGGAACCTGTGTCAGTGAGACCAGCTGTCGGTGTCGTGGGGTTCAGTTGAAGTTGCGTGTGGAGTAGAAGTGCCGCATGGCAGCTGTGGTGGGGTTTCAGTGGTCTGAGGCCTTGCACTGCTGTGTCCCTGGGGGACTCCAGGCTGCCAGGGTCCATGACGTGCCTGGGAGGGTGTGGGGAGGTGGTGGACGGTACTCTCACCTCTGGAGAGCAGTCTGTGTGTTCGACCCTGCAGGGCTTCCGTCGGTTGCTCATGCCAGATAGCGCTTCTCTGGCCACTTCTTGGGTTGTGATGGTGATTTTGAAGGGGTGGTTGACAGGGACGGGCGGCGCTGCAGACTCCAGCTCCGGAGAGTTCCAGTGCACAGCCCACTCGGGCTGCTGCAAGGACTGCTACTGAAGCAGGGCCGGGGGCCGGCTGCCTCCGCCAAGTTGAACAGAGCAGAGCACTGTCGCTGCTGCTTCCGGTCACCCCCGGACGATGTGCGCGTGGGAGCCCCGGCTCAGGAGCAGCTGCCCTTTGCTGATCCCCAAGTGCCCAGAAGGCAGAGCCTCCCCAGCCGAGGCCCTGCTGAGCAGACAGGCCCTGCTGCATGCCGGTGCCAAGGCTGTGCAGCCCACGAGTGGGAAGGGGTGGCGCGCAGCCAGGGGGCCGGGGCAGGGCCCACAGTGCGAGGGGTGGCTGTGTCCAACACTGAGGTGTGCTCACACCAGGTGTCTGCCACATGTCCACAGCACCAAGCTCTCGTGCACCCAAAGTTCACCAGCAGAAAACTCCCTGGGCACCAGGAAAGGGGCTCAGGCTGCCCCTGCCTCTTGTCCATGGGGTCAGGGTGTCACTGCCCCCAGGCAACCCTGATAGTGTCCAGTATGACCACCAGCCGACTCCCCGGCTCAGGGAGGCAGCAGGGGACCCGCACCTCCCTGGACACCAGCTCCTCCTCACATGCAGCCTGTGCAGGGCCGTGCTGTGCCACAGGCCAAGCTTCTTCACAAAGTCAGGAGGAAGCGGGGGCCTCCTCAGGACAGGACCTGAGCCGCCTAAGCAGAGCAGGGCCCCTCCAGGCAGATCACGGGTCTGCACCAGGTCTCTCCTGCCGAGGAGTGTGGCCTGCAGTGAGTTGGCTGCACTGCATTCTCCCTCCCGCCTGGGCGACGGTGAGCAGCTGAGGTGCAGACGCCACGGCTGGGACTGCTGGGCGTCCCCCTCACTGCCCGTTAGCGGCAGCCTTGCCTGTGAGGATCAAGGGTGCATCGCCCGGCTCCTGTGCCCTTAGAGGGGCTGAGGTCATGGGCTGTTTCCCGTGGCAGGTGCGTCCCGTACGCTGGAGTCTTGTTTTGTAAAGTGATTCTTGAGGCTCGCGTTTTAACTTGGACGACTTTAGTCTTTTGATTTCTCAGATGGTGCTTTTGATGCCACGTGTGAGAGATCTGCCAAACCAAGGCCACGCAGGTTTCTCAGGTGTCCCCTAGGGGCCTTGCAGTCTCTGCGCAGGAGCTCAGGCCGCTCGCCCACGCCTGTCGCCTGTGTGTGGGTGGGAGAAGGCCTCAGGCTCCTCTGCTCTGTGGCCGCCCAGTGGGCAGCTGTCCTCTCCCAGTGCTGGCGCGGCTCCTTGCCCGGGCACCTGCAGCATCGCACGGTGGTGGCCTCTGCTCTGGAGCCGGCTGTGGGGTCGGGGTGCCCTCCACCTCCACTCTCCTTTCCAGGTCGATTGGCTCTTCTGGCCCCTCCCCTTCTGCGTAAAACGAGGGTCTGCTGTGGCTGTTGCGCAAACGAGCGGCCGCAGCTCGGCGTGGGGGGCCGTCCTAGCAGCCTGGGGTCTTGCGTCCACACACCTGGAGTCCACGCCTTTCCGCTCCCTCTCTCCCTCGGTGGCCTCGCGGGCCCTTCCCCGTCACAGCCAGCCCTGCCCTGCGTCCGTACCTGAGCTCCCCTTCACCCTTTCTCGGTGGTGCTCTGTTGCTGAGTCTGCCCAGCAAGTCCCCAGTCTGGATGGTGTGCCTTCCGGCTGGGCCGTGGCTCTTCCTGCAGTTCTGCGTCTCACTGCAGTCCTCCATTTCCCCCTTTGGTCCGCCTTGGCATCTAAACTGCCTGGTGTTCTGATGTCCTCCCTCTGAGGCCCACTGCAGCTGATGCTCAGCATCTCACATGCTTTAGGCTTGGGGTACGGAGCCCTGTCTTCAGTGACTGCTGCTGTTTCCCTGCGTGCAGTGCCCCTCCTCTCCAGGCCACTGGGGTGAGGGCGCGTTTACGGGTATGGGGGCGAGGGCGCGGGCTGGGCTGCAGATTTGCTGCAACGTGCCTAATTCCAAGGCTGTGGCGAAGCCGTGTGGGCCTCCCCGGGGGCAGGGCCAGGGCTCTGGAGCTTCCCCTGCTCCCATCCAGCTGGTGGTGTTAGGGAAAAGCCGGAGTGGGGAAAGACCCGCCATCTTCACACAGAAGCACATGCAAGTGTCCTGGGCTAGGCACAGAGTTTGCGAGAGACTTGGGGTAAACAAAAGCCTTCTCTGACTGTGCTAGCCAATGCTGACCTCAGGCCACAGTAGTCTCCTGGACTGCTGGTGGCCTCGTCAAGACTGACCTGCTCCTGGCTGCAGACCTGGAACCCCAGCCCTGGGCCCCTGCTCCACTCACAGCTTATTTTTCCTCCCCGTGGGCTGGGCACGAGCGTGCCTTTCAGAGAGCCCTGAGGGGCCTGGGTCTGGTCTGGGAACGGCTGTGGTGAGCACTGCCACAAGAGCCCACATCCAGCGTACATCCTGGGTTGTCCCCCAGCCACCTCCAGGGCGCTTTCTATCTCTCCCCAGGTCTGGGAGAAGTTCTTGAGCTCTGAGACTCCCCGGATTAACATGTTTATGGCGGTGCCCACGATATACGCCAAGCTGCTGGGATACTATGACCAGCACTTCACCCAGCCTCACGTCCGGGACTTTGTGCGTGCCATTTGTGAAGAAAACATCAGGTGGGTGGAGGCCCCCGTCCCGCAGGAAGGTCCCGTGGCAGTTGACAGGCCTGCTGTGCTGCTGCGTGGCCGCCCGCCCGTGCCTTGGTCCCTGTACGGCTCTCCATGTCCTGGTCTCCATCTCTTCTCCTCCCTGCCACGCACATCTGTGTCCATCGGCCTTCTCGGTCTGTCTCCATCCGCTCTGCCTTCTCTAGAGCTAGGCTTAGGTTTTCTCTTCTGTGGTAGGTTTTGGAAGACCTGTTTATATTCTAAAATATACCCAACAAATTTAAAAATGCCAACAATGGGGTCTTAGCCCAAACTTGTTTCCATCATGAATCTTGCACTACAATGATGCCCGGAAGCCCAGGGCCACCTGTCATCCCAGCAGCTCGGAGGCGGAGGCAGCAGGGTCACAAGCCTAATGAGACCCTGTCTCAAAAAAAATAGGAAGCGCTGGGGTGCAGCTCAGTGGTAGAGCACCCTGGTTCAGTCCCAGCGTCCCTCACAGATACACCTAGATGTGTACACAGGTGCATGCAGGTCCCTGCATGTGCGTGTGCGGAGCGTGCTGTGTATGTATACGCGTACATACATGTGCACACACATGCACCTCTGGTGATGCTGGGTGGCGACACCCTGGGTCACCTGTGCCCGTGCGTGAGGACAGAGCTGAGCCCGCGGTTGTGCCCTAGGCTGATGGTATCAGGCTCGGCTGCCCTGCCCACCCCTCTGCTAGAGCAGTGGAAGCACGCCACTGGCCACACGCTGCTGGAGCGCTACGGCATGACTGAGATCGGCATGGCCCTGTCCAACCCGCTGGCCGAAACTCGCCTGCCAGGTAGGAGTAGCCCCTGAGCGCCTGCACTTGGAAAAGGGGCCTAGAGGGTGCTGCCCTCTGCCATGACCACGGCGGACACCCTGGGTGCTCACCACTGCCGCCCCTGCCCCTGCTCTCCCATGTGGTTGAGGATGAGGCAGGAGGGCCCTTTTCACCCCGGGCCCTGTGGGTCACCAAGGGGCACAGGGACAAGAGGCCTGGAGCCCCCAGGTGTGGCAGGAGCCCTCGGCAGACCTGGAGCCCAGGTCTCTCCTTTCCCCATGGTCAACGTCTCCCCCAGTGCCTGGCTGGCAGCCTCTGCAGGTGACGGGGGTCGTCACCTGTGCTAGCAGGTCACTTCCCTCCCTCTGCCTAGGGTCTTCTTGGCTGGGGACAGTTGTGGGCACAGCCAAGATGTTGTGAACAGGGTGCTGGTTTCCTCGGGCACCCAGGCTGGGCTGCAGGGCTGCTGGATGCTCCTGTGCGTCCGCCCCACCCGGCCACGTCCTGGGCTCTAGGGTATTCTGTCGGGTCTTCTCTGGTGAGTGGTGGCCTCAAGCGTTGCTACACGTCACGTGACGTCTTTGAGGCTTTGTGGGATCTTGGAGCCGGCCGGCCCTGTCTGTGTCCCTCTCGGTGTTTTGCTCTTCCAGTTCCTCTGCCTTTCAGTGCCGTGTGGTAGCCCCAGTTGCTCAGGGACTGGGGAAGCCAGTGTCTAGTCCAGGTCCCAGACCAGATAGGGGACAGTGGCGGCACAGGCATGAGCAGGCGTGAGCATCATACTGCAGGTCAGCATGCTGGGAGGGTGGGAGGCTGTGTACAGTGAGCAGTGGGACCCGTCACAGGGCCTGGGAGCCACGGGGCCATTCGGGCTCTGTGGAGGGTGCAGTAGGCTGCCCTCAGGGCATCCTGAGCAGAATGGCGGGCTCTGGTAGCTGTGGGCAGAGCTGCCAGTGGGCGGGAGATGGCGAGCAGGCCTGGCTGTCATTGTGAGAGGGAGGCAGTGCGAGCCGTAGAAGCTGATCTCGCATGGGACCCTGGAGGCCACGTGGCACAGGCAGCTAGCAGCTTGGCAGCTCACACGTGCCATGCACTGCTGTGTGGCAAGGCCCGTGTGTCTGCGCCAGCCTTGCCCTGTCTGCAGGGGTGGGACGGAGCTGGAGACCAGGCCCACGGCCCCAGGCTCCCCGGTCCTCAGTCCTCGTGGTGTGTGATGGCCCACAAGAGTGCCAGTCTCTGCCGTCCCGGCTCCGGAACTCGGGTGCCGTGTCCTCCCAGCCTGACTACAGGCTAGAGGTGCATACCCAAGGGCACTGAGGCTGGGGACCTGCCTAGTGGTGCAAGTGGACGTGGACCCATGCCTTTGGGCAGATAGAGCCACCCTGAAGCACAGGAGTAGGACAGGGGCCTCCCCAGCCTTAGTGAGGGGACAGAGATGACAGAGGAGCTGAGGCTGCAGCAGGAGGGGAGGGGGCAAGCAAAGGCCTTGGAGGGATGGCCACAGAAAGGGGTGTTAAGATGCAGGACACGAGCCAGGGCCAGGTGGACTTCCAGTGGTGGGGTGAGGAGGGCGCCTGGGCTCATGCTGACGGGAAAGAGGTCCAGAGACGTTGAGACTCGGGGCTGGAGTGCGGGAACCCCGGGTCCTGAGCACCTGGACACAGCCTTGTCTCGCTCCACGACAGCCGCTCGCCCACAGTCACCTGCTGCTCCTGGCTGGGAGCCGTGCAGCAGCTACGCCACATCTGGAGCATCTCCTGGCAGTCATGGGGCAGTGGGGTGGGTGGGCTGTCCTCTGCTGTGGGACTCTGACTTTGGGGCCAAAGGGTGTATCTCAGCCAAGACCCAGACCTGTGTTCCCAGCCCTCCACCTGCTTCCTGGGCTGCTGCTCTCCTGTCTGCGGAGCCTCAGTGCATTATTCCTGCAGTGGGCTGGGCCCACACCACCACCACAATTCACTCCAGCTCCCTGGAGCCTGTCAGGGCATGGAGGGCAGCCCCAAGTGAGAGGACTGGCTGCAGGACCCGTGTCCTGTGTCCAGCTCCAGCTTCCACCTCGTTGGGCTGCTTTGAGGGGAGAGGCCTTGCCCAGCATAGCGTCCTGCCTTGACACGGCTCCAGCCCTCGTCGCCTGTGTCCCCTCTGGTGGGACTAGGCACGCCAAGGCAGCACGTGCCTGGACCCCAAGATGAGGTGAAGGCTGATGGAGGGGCTTGGGCAGAGCGGACGGCTGTCCTGCAGGGCAGGGACTGGGACTGGGACAGTGGTGGTGCCACCTCGGTCGTCCAGGGTGCGGTGATGGGTAGCTGGTGCGGTTGCTGCTCTCATAGGCTCCCATGGGTCTGTCACTGCCCCTGCTTCTCGCAGGTGACAGACACCTCCCAGAGCTCAGCCACTGCCAATAGTCAGGCCTGTGTGGGCAGCTCACCTGTTCCTCCCTGCGGGCAGCGCTGTGGCCAGGTTCTGGTCAACCCACAGGTTCCCACGGGCTCCCAGAGCCTGAGAAGGCAGCTTCTGGCCTGGTGGGCTGGAGCCCAGGCCATGTTCCAGGAGACAGAGCTGTAAGAGGGCCCGGGGTCCAGAGGTGTTGCACCACTGCTAAGACAGGTGCTCAGGGGACGGAGAGCCAAGCCGGCTGGTGGCTCATGCCCTTATTTCAGGAGCCCGAGAGGCTGAGGCAGCACGACGGCAAGTCTGAGGCCACCTGAGCGACTTAGCAAGACCCTGTCTCAAAATAAAGAGGGCTGGGATGCAGCTCTGTGTGCAGCACCCTGGGGTCAATCCCAGCACCATAAAAAGGAGGACAAGAGATCAGAGTGGCCTGTGTTTGAGGGAGGGTGGGTGGTCCCGTGGGTGATCCCACCCAGGGCCCTGAGCTCATGCCTGGTAGACGATGGTGATATTAGCATCAGGTCCTTGTCCCCCCCAGGTTGAAGAGCCCCTGAGAAATGGTGAGACAAGAATAGAAAGTAAATTTTATTTAAGAAACAGAACAGGGCTGGGGTGCCGCTGTGGTGGAGCACTTGCCTGGTATGTGGGATGCACTGGGTCTGACTCAGCACCACGCGAAATACGTAAATAAAACAGGTACTTAAAAAATCTTTTAAAAAGAAAGAAAGGAAAAGAAATGAACAGAGAGTCTCCTCTGGAGAGGAGGGGACCCAGAGCTGTTACTCCGGTGGAGGGTTGCTTTGCCCCTTACAGATGACGTTAGGTTCCTTTTCTTGTGCCTCTGTGACCAAAAGGCAGAAAAGAACCGAGCAGGGGTGAGTGCCCGTGTTGGGAAGTGCCATCCTGCCCTCCCCAGCCCGCGTTGGCAGCTGGTTGGTGGGGAAGTGCCACCTACCCAGTTCCTTTTGGTAATCAGCTACCTGTCCTTTGCCTCGGTCTCAATGGCTTTGACCTGCTGAGGCCATGGAGCTCCTGCCTGGGCAGGTCCATCTGACCATCTGACCGTCTCTGGCATGGTGGGTCAGCTGAGGGGCTGGACCTCAGAGCTGGGCTGGCTGCCCTCCCATACCCACCAGCCTGCTCCAGCAGCTGGGTCCACCCTGCGGTGGTGCACGGCACCCTCTGTGGGTTTCCCCACTGCGCGGCAGAGGCTGCAGTCACCAAGGAACAGGGACCTGGCGCGCAGCAGAGGAGGCTGCAGCAGTGCCCCCAGCGGGCTGGCGCTCATGCAGCCCTTGGTCTTGTCACCGGTGACGCCAGGGAAGCGGCCGGTGTTCACCTGGAGGTCTCAGCCCTCCTAGCACCTCCTTGCCCTCTCTCTGTAGCAGGGCTGCGCAGGGACTGCTGGGAGGGGTCCCTTGCTTCACCCAAAACAAGGGCAGTGTGGACAGACCTGCCAGGAGTCAGGATCTGGGGGGCTGGGGGCCCTTGAGTGGCCATCCTGGGGCTCTTCGTCCCATGGCACACCCCACGATTCTGGCCGTGAAGATAAAGGCCCTGGAGCCACTCAGTGTACTCCGAGTGGCGAGTCTGGACAGTGGCTTCACGCCTGTGCTAGTGCCACTGCTGTCCCCTGCTCCACTCCCCCACCATGTGCCAGCTCTGGCACGTGTGGGGCAGGTGTCTCTAAGGCCGGCCTTTGCTGGCTCGGCTGGCAGCAGAGATGCTTTTGGAGCGCCCTCCTGTGCTGGGCGGGGCCTCTGGGAAGCATCTCTGCAGCGGGACTCGGCTGCCCCTCCACAGGCACGACCTGGCTTCAGCGCAGGCAGCACCAAGCAAGCCCGCCTCCCCTCCAGCCAGGGCAGCACCTGCCCTCCTGCCTCAGCAGGAACGCCAGCTGGTCCTGCTGTCGCTGGTCCCTGGTCCGTCCCTGCCCCTCGTCAGGATGCTTGCGCCTCTAGCTCAGGGGCCAGCACTCCCTGGCTGGGCAGGTATATGGAGTCTGCCACAGCAGCCGTGAGGCCACTTGGACAACCCTGCTGGAGCCTTGTGAGGTCGCCCCTCGAGTCTCAGGCGAGCCCTACCCCAGCACTGGCTCCGGCCGTGGGCTCACAGAGCCCCGCTGGCACCCCGGCGAGTGGGTGTCCCCTCTCCCAGGAGCTGCTGCCACCTGCCTCCTCCTGCCTGCTTCTCTCTCTGCAGGTTCTGTGGGGAGCCCGCTGCCCGGAGTGGAAGTGCGCATCGTCTCTGAGGGCCTGCAGAAGGAGGGCTGCCCCTACGCCGTCCACGCGGAGGGAGATGAGAGAGGGACAAAGGTAGGGCCGGAGGCTGCCCACCTGGCGCCCACAGCGCACGGAGACGTTCCCTTGGGGTGTGCCCTCATGACGGAGGCACTGCTTGGTGTCACTGAGCTCACTGGCCAGTGTTGGTGGGCCTTACCCATAGCTGTTCTCTGGCCACTTCCAGGACATGGACAGTGCAGCTGGCCCAGGCACACCCTGCTCCCCTGAGGCTCCCTGGGGCCCAAGGGCGTCACCATGGCCTGCTAAGCAGCCCAGGACAGCACAGGGACCCATTCAGAAAGGTGCAACTGGAGGGTACTGTCACTGTCCCAGAGCCCCACAGCCTCGGGTGCCCTTGCTGCTGAATGAGGGTGGCCCAGTTTCCGGTTCACTCTGCAGTTGGCAGGGGCAGCCCGGGAGGGCCGTCATCTCATGTCAGCAAGGGTTAAGAGCTAAACACCCACCCGTCGCAAGGACCTCAGGTCAAGAAAGCTGGGACCCCCAGGACGTGGAATTCCGGGCTGGTGACAGGCTGGGTGTGGCGTCCACTGACCTGTCGCCTGAGCAGGGTTCCTGTCCCTGTGCCCGGGGCTGGCAGCCTCGGCTCTGCGTGACTGCTCGCCTGCAGAGGCAGCCAGGTAGGTGCGTGTGGGCGTGGCCTCAGTGTGGCAGCCCGTCCTTGGTGGGCTTGGCCACACCTTGGTTTCTGAGCTTGCTGGGGACGGTCACTGGCGCACTGTCCCGCAAGTGGGTGAGAGCTGGTGGCCCAAGAGTGAGCTGAGCATCAGGAAGACTGGAGCCAGCCGTGCCTCTCGCCTGCCTGGGGCTGCCTGGGGGCCTCGCTGAGCTCTGTCCTCTGTGTCCTCCCTCCTGGCCTCTCAGGGGCTCCTGGCTCCATGGTCTACCCAGTCCTGAAACCCGCCTGTTTCCACTGCTCTGGGCCGCCTGCCTTTCGCCTTCTGGCCTCGGGTTGGAGCCCGACTGCCCTCTGCTGGGCCTCGGCTGTGCTGAGCCAGGGATGTTGGCCACGCCTGGGTCTAGTGTGTAAACTCCCCAGTGCCCGCCTCCCCTGGCACCCTGCTCACACCCAGGTCTCAGGCCACCTTGCTTGGCTGGTCCCGCCCCCTGCAGCAAGGGGCTGGGCTTGGACACTGGCTCAGGGCACGTCTCTCAGGAATGTCCCAGCAGGGCAGTGGTGGTGAGGTAGGTACCTGCACCGTCCGGCCTCCCAGGTGTCCTCAGTGCTGGGCTCAGCCTCAGGGACACCTATTGTGCAGGAAGTGGCAGAAACATTGCCAAAGAAAGGGGTGGGGCAAGGGCAGGTGGGCCGTGGTAGCAGCCACTCCCCAGCAGCTCCCAGGCCCGGCTCTGCCGGCGGCCTTCCCTGAGGCGCTGCAGGCAGAAAGGAGCACAGCCCTGCCCCCAGGATGCTGGACAGCCAGAGGCCACACGGCCACAGACAGGCCTGGCCACAGACAGGCCTGCGAGGTGCCTGCGAGGGGACAGGGGCGTGCGATGGCGAGGGAGCTCAGCAGACACTGAGGGACAGGCCGCGATCCAGAGGCAGCATCTTCTAGAACCTTCTAGGCCAGGGCCACCTCTGCTGGAGGCTGAGCCCTTCGTGGGGAGCACAGCCAGACGGCTGCTTCCTCCCTGCCTGCAGGAGACACTCCAGACACGGGGCCCAGGCTGCTCTGGGGTTCCTGCCATGGCTGTGCAGCGCATGCCTCAGGCAGGGCAGGGTGGGGTGGCACTGCCCAGGCTGAGGGCCTCTCTGCCGTGTCCCATGGGAAGGCCTGCCCGCCCCCTCTCGCTCAGCCGCCTAACCCAGCCAGACGTGGTGCCCCACTCACCACACCCAGGCCGGGGCTCCCCCGCTCAACTGTGCAGCTGGATCAGCACTGTCAGGACTTGTGCCCTTTGCCTGGTGAGCTGTGTGGCTTGTGGCCTCCCTTCCCCAGGACTTCCCTCCCTGTGGCCTCCCCTGTGGGCTCCCTTCTCTGTGGCCTCCCTTCCCTGAGGCTGGTCCCACTGGAATCGGCTGCCTCTGGCTGTCTTCAGGACGGCTCTGGAGCCTGCCTCCCGGCTCTGGGCAGGTGGTCACGGCCCCCGAATGGCAGGAGGGTGCTGTGCTTTTCAGTGCAAAAGCCTCGCAGGGTGTGTCCCGCTGCCTGCCTCAGCCAGGCCTACGCAGGCTGCGCGTCCTCCTCGCCTCCCAGGTGGGCCGCCGGCCTCTGCCTTCTGTTCTGTCATGGGGAGCCTGGCCTGGGGTCAAGTACAGGGCTTGGGCTTCTTCCATGTGTGTGCACAGGACACACATGTTCTCTGGTCTTGAGCCGCGTGTGTGTTTTCACCCGACTTAAGACCCGAATGCTGTTGCTTGGGAGCTGAGTCTCCGAGAACAGATTTACTGTCAGGGCTTGTCTTCACTCCTCCATGATGGGCAGCGCCCACTGCACCCGGCCTTCGGGCACATGGCAGGGAGGAGAGGCCTGAGGAGCCGTTGCAGGCAGACAGCAGTCACAAACAGGTGGCCTGCGTCTGCCAGGTCCACAGACAGGACGGTGGACAATGGTGGGCCTGCCCAGGGACGCTGGCCAGTGGGGCATGCACAGCCTACCCCGCCCTCTAAAGGTCACTCCGCCTTTGTGAGTGGTCGTGGCAACTGGGGGCTGTGTGGTCTTTGTGCTCAGGCCCCAGGGCCCTTCCTAGGATGCCAGGCCCTGATGACCTCTGCCCTCTGCTCTTGACCTGACCCACACATGCCACCCACCTGTGCCAGCAGTGGCCACTGTGGAGACAGGACATGGCCCCGGGCCATGCCAAGGAGCAGCCTCACCATGGTGCTGATGCCCAGAGGGTCGAAGCCCACTGGGGCTCTGTGTGGAGCCCACCAGGAAGGAGCAGCATGGCCTGTGGTGCCCGGGAGCAGCCCTCGTAGAGAGACCTCCTGGTGCCTAGAGCACCCAGCACTCGGGGCTCCAGAGTCCCCGCCGGTTTCAAATCAAGGCCCCTCACAGATTCTGCAAGTGCCTATTGATTGCAACAGTGCTCGGCAGTGGACATCAGGCAGTGGACACTGGGGCAGCAGGTACTTGGGCAGTGAGCACTCAGGAAGTGGGCTTGGGCCGTGGGCACTTGGGCAGTGGGCATCGGGTGTAGGTGCCAACCACACACCAAGTCCCTCATCTCTGGAGCGTGGCTTGCTGCTCACCGCAGGGTCTGAAGTGAGAGGAGTGGGCTCTCGGGTCCCTCAGGGGACCAGCACAGGGATCAGCACGGAGGCTCGCAGCACTCCAGGTTCCCACAGCTGCCTGTGTCTGCTCTCATCCTGGAGCTGTGGTGGCCCTGGCCGTGGCTGGTGGCCAGCAGCTTGGGCCACATGTCCCCGTCACAGGGCTTCGAGTGTCTGCCACTGTGACCAGAGTGTCCCGAGTTGTGCAGCTCTGGCGGGCAGTCAGGTGCTGGAGTGACTGGCACCTGTCCCCTCCCACCTGGGTATGGGGCTCCCTCCTCCCCCTTTGCTGGCCCCCAGATGACACCCGCTGTGAGCCCTGCAGGCACCAGGCATCTCTCTCTAGTCGTTTACTTCTTATTTTTTCAGATTGCTCACTTACTGAGAGCCAAACACCAGCCAGGGACAACGGGGGCCTGTCAGCAGATGAGTGGCCACACAGCTGCCTGTGCGGCCACCCTGGCCCTGGGCCTTGGTGCGAGCCGGCTTCTCTTGCTGGGGATGTGGAGGGCTGGGTGGTAGCTGCAGCCGCAGGCCGCCTTCTCACATCCCCCTTAGAGACACGGGTCTTCTCCTCTCTCCCGAGTGCAGGCTGCCCCTCTGGCCAGCAGGCGGCTCTGTTGTGGCCCTGCCCCTCACAGGCCCCCGCTTCCCTCCGCGCCCCCATCACTGCCGCCTATCACTGGCGCACCACCGACTGCGCCCCCGGCCCACGGTGCTGAGGTTGGGGACCAGGCAGGGCATTGCTGAGCAGTGTACCCTTCCATGGGTGTGAGGCCTGGCCCCCTCTATAAAGGGCTGGGCGGGAGATGGCCTGACCCTGGGTGGGGAACCGTCCATCAGGACGTGAGTCACAGGCCACCTGGCTGGCTGAGTGTCTGCAGAGGTTAGCTTCTTGGTGCCTCGCTGCCCCCTGCACAGGGCCCGTGTCCCCACATGTTCTTTAAAGGGATGTGGCGGAAACTCTGGGTGTTCTGGGGTCCCTAGCCCTGGCCATTTCTTCCAGGAGCTCAGGGTACCCTTCCTTGCCCTGCAGAACACCAAAGCATATAGATTATTACTGCCTTGGGTCTTTTCTGGTTTTCAGAAAAGCTCTTTATGGAGCTATAATCACACACCAAACACTGTCCCTGCGCACACCGTACAATCCACTGGCTTCGGTGGACTCACAGTTGTGCGCAGACCACCACTGGGTGCTCCATTCCACCTCCCAGAAGCTCCGTGACCACCTGTAGTCATTCCCAAGCCCACCCTCACGCCCTCTCCCCTCAGCCTTGGCCCCAAACAGACATCGTCTCCTTTCTGTCCATGTACATTTGGCCATTCTGGGCTTTTTTTAAATATATATAATTGCATTTGACAAACTTAACATCCCTTCATGATAAATACCTTAAACAAATTAGGTATTGAACAGACATACCTCAACATGATAACAGGCCCCCAACTGACATGCCAATGCTAATCCATAATCCAATCACCCCAAAGACCCATCTCTGGACATTCTACACTGGGGACCGAGTCTCCAATATGTGAGCATTGGGGATCATCCAGACCCAAACGTGACAATATCTGTGATGCATTTTGAATGGATTTTTGCATAACAAAAGTTTAAGTGGAGTTTATTTGTTCATGTGTGGTTATCCAGTTGTTCAGCTATACTTTATTGAAAAGATACCCTTTCATTGAGCCATCTTTCCAACTTTATCAAAAATCAAGGACATATTCGAATGATTCTGTGTGTGGATTCGTGATTTCCTTTATTGATCTATGTTTCTGTTCCTTTGCTAACACCACACTGTTTTGACTACTGTGGCTTTATAATAAGACCTAAAATTATAGTGACTCCATAAAATAATTTTATTTTTTTCAAAGTTGTTTTGACTGCACATGTCAATTTTGGAATTATCTGTATAATATCTGTTTGTATCTGCATGTCCTTGAAGTGTCTTGATTGGAATTACATTATTTCCGTGGGTCATTTAGGAAATAATGACCATTTTTGAGGGTCATTTAGGAAATAATGACTTCGTTGAGGGTGCCAGTCCCTGAACATGGTCAGCTCTGCCCTCTTGTGGTGTTTTCAGCTAAGAGATGGTGTATGTTTTGTTAGATTTACACATAAATGAATGTTTCTTCTTTTGTTTTTTCCTGCTTTTCTTCTTTTTCAACTTTTGTAAGAGGGGAGTCTCTCCGTTTCTAGTTGTTGCTAATAGTTGTCTGTGCCTGTGCAGCTAGTCTGTCTTCCTCTGGTAACTTGGTGGTCCTCTGGTCAGCCTCAGGAGTGTTGGTGAGTAACCTGGGGGACCCCGGGTGCAGTCCTACTTGCCTTGCCCCGTGCAGCCTCGCATTTGTCTCTTCTGCCTTGTTGCCATGACTGACCTCCAGCACCAAGCCCAACAAGAGTAGTGAAGTGGACATCCTCATCTAGTTCCTGATCTTCATCAAGTGTGATGCTAGCTACAGGCTTTCTAGTAGGTTTCCTTCTGTGTATGACGTGCTGGGCTTGTTGATCACACAGGGATGTTGAAGACACTCAGTTGGCTTTTCTCCATCAGGCTGTTGGTACCAGGGGTCACACTGATGTGGAACCAGCCTGTGTCCCCAGGTGTACCACTTTTGTTATAGTGGGTGTGTGTCCTTAATGATGGTCCCTCCAACAAGGTATCGTCAAGCAGTTTTGTTGTGATGTGAAATCCTGGAGGGAGGGGAAGCCTGCCGCACACCTGGGCTGCCCTAGGTCACGGCCTGGAACAGCGTGTCACTGTGCTGACAGCTGTGGGCAGTCATGTATCTGAGCATATCTAATACAGAAAAGGTACAGCAAAAGGGTGGTATAAAAGGTTTAAGAAAGCACTTACCATGGATGGAGCTTGTAGGAGTGGAAGTCGCTCCACTGCACACGTAGGCTGCAGTGGGTTTAAAAAAAAACACAACTTTCTTCCATAATAAGTTAATTTTAGTTTACTGTAACATTTTTACTTTGCAATTTTTTTTTTTTTAGCTGTCTGACCCATTTGTATGAACCCTTAGCTTAAGACACAACATTGTATGGCTGCATAGAAATACTTTCTTTATATCCTAATTCTGTAACACTTTTTCCTGTTTAGTTTTGTCTTTGCTTTTTAAACTTTTTTGTTATAAGCCAAAACACAGTGTGCATGTCAGTGGAGGCCTGTGCACCAGGTCTCTGTCTTCTGCTGCATGCCTTGTCCCACCAGAAGGCCGTCACTTCCCTGGTGACAGTGTTGTCCTTCAGCGGGAGGCTCTGAAGTAGAGATGAGAAGCGTGGTGCAGACAGCAGGCACCGTTGGCTGTCCTGGTCTCAGGAACCGTGCAGGGCCATTTCCACAGCTCCTGCGCATGCCTGGGCCGCACCCAGGCTGCAGCACCGTAGCCCTGACTTGGCCCTGGGCAGTTCTCAGCTCCATTGTGATCAGGGCCACGGTCGCATGCGCAGCCCAGCGTGGCGCCTTCATGGGACGTGGCCTGTGCTTCCCTGGTCTTGTGCTCTCTGTGCCTGGCCTCACACTGCGGGGAGCGTCCCTCCTCTTCTGCTTCTGCAGGGCCTGGTGCGGGATGGTGGTGCTCTGCTGCCACCAGGGCAACCACTCGGCCTGGAGCTCTCTTTTATGAGGCTCTTAGCTATGAGTTGTTATGCAGAGTGTGGCCCTAGCCCGTTCTGTCACCTCTTGTGTCTTGGCTGCGTCTGGGAGTGGGCTTGCGGAACCGGCGTCCACCCCGTTGTTGACTGTGTGTGTCCAGCGCTCCTCTCCCTCCACTTGCTGATGCTCTGAGTCTTCTCTCCTTATTTCTGTGGAAGTTCATGTTTCATTGCTTTGATGTTTCCCCAGAGAACTACTTTTGGTTCACTGAATTTTCCCCCTCCTATTGTTCTTCTCTTTCCAATTTTACCCATTTCTGTTCTTACCTTGGATCACTTCTTCAATTTGATTTTGGCCTGTTTTTCTCTTTTTCTAGCTTCTTCTGGTGATTTGAGACCTTTCCTCTGTACTAATAGATGCATTTGATTCTATGAGTTTTCCCCCAACCACTGCTTTAGCTGCATCCCTCAGATTTCAATAGGTGTATTTTCATTTTCATTCAATTCAAAATATTTTTAAATTTTCCTTAAGACTTTCTTTTTTGGCCATGGATTACTTAGAGTGTCTTGTGTTTTTTTTCTGAATGCTTGGTGATTTTTCTGTTATCCAGTATTGATTTTCTAGTTTAATTTCATTGCAGTCAGAATGCCTACATGGTATGATTTCATTATGTTTACATTTGTTGAGGTGTTTTCCGTGGCCCAGAGTGTGCTTTCTCTTGGCGGCAGATCTGGTGTGAGTGAGGAAGTGTGTTCTGCTGGGCCTGGTTGGAGTGCACTGCTCACGTTGGAAAGGTGGTGGCTGGCACAGCTCCGCTCTGCACTTCTTGGGTTTCCTCATTGCTTGTTCTATGACTAAAGTGAAGAGTTGTGGAGTCTCCAGCTGTAACTGTCTATCTTTGCCCATGTGTTTTGAAAGTCTTGTTTGATACACACACATTTGCAGTCATTAGGTCTTCCTAGCAAGTTGGCCCTTTCACCAACAGGTGGTGCTCCTAGAAATGTCCTTGGCTATTGAATTTATTTTGTCTGGTGTTAATGTAGCCATTTTAGTTTCTGTTTTGTGTTTGCATGGTATGTATGATTCTATCCCACCATGATTGTATTTGAAGTAAATTTCTCATAGACAGCATGTGATTGGTCAAGGTATTTCTTCAGTCCAGCCTGACAAGCTCTGTCACTTAACTGGTGTGTTTAGACCATTTACGTTTAGTGTGATTTCTGATGGGCTTGAATTCAAGCCTGCCACTTTATCCTGTTTATTGTTTTGCCCTGGGTTTTTTGCCGCAGTCTGGCTGGGCACAATTCAGGAGCCACTTGTCAAAAGAAACGAACTTTATTTTTAGCACCACACACGCCAAACAAAACAGCTCCTCAGGAAAAACCCTCAGAGCCCAACTGCCACCACCGGCTTCCCACAAGCCTCTCCACCTCCCCCACTCCTCCTGCTCTTGAGGCCGATTGGCTGGGTCACGTGGGCGGAGCCAAAAAAAGTGCCCCAATGAGCAGCTCCATGGTCTGAAAGGGCAGGGAAACAGCCCAATGAGCATCGCTGCAGAGGAGCCAATCAGCTAGAAGTTGCTGGGGCCGCTGTGAGCCAATCATCAGCTGGCAGTCTGAAAGTTTGCTGGGGCCCTTCGGCTGTGGCTCTCAACAGTTTTTCATTTCTGGGCTTCGGGGATAAGAGTGTAGTTGCTCATTTTCCACAGCCTACTTGGAATCAACACCATCATGCTTCCAGAAAACTGTAGAGCCTTGCCACATGCAGGCCACAGCACCCCACACTTGTCTGTGGCAGCTTCAGGCATGACTGTGCTAGAAAGTGTAAGAGTGTGCTTTCAGCCTCAGAAGTGCAGAGAACTCAAGAGGCAAGGGTGAGTCCTGTTGCTGCACCCAGATGTTCAGTTTCTGTTGCTTGTGCTTTATCCCTGATGCCCCAAGTCTCCTGCTGCTGCGTTCCGTGTCTGAGTACAGTCTTCGGCGTTACTGGAGACCAGGTCTGCCTGCAACACACTCTCTTGTCTCTCTCCGTCCGTATTCCTGGATTTGGAATTCTGGGTTCATAATTATTTTATTTTAGAGCTTTAAAACTATAGCTTCACCAGGTGTGATGTGATCCCAGTGATTGGGAGGCCAAGGCAAGAGGGTCCACTCAAGACCAGCCGGGCAACCTTGAGACCCGGTGTGAAAATAAAACATAGAGCTGACCATGGATCTCAGAGGTAGAGTGCCCCGGGGTTAATCCAAGGACCACACCCACCCACAAAAAAGTAAAGCATTGTCTTTTTCTGACCGCCATCAAGATTCTTTCTTTGTCTTTAGTTTGAGTCGTTGATAATTGGATCAGGTATATGCAGACGTGTACTTCTGGGGGTTTGCCCTGGGATCCTCTAAGGTTCTTGAATCCACAGATTTATGTTCTCACCAGATTTGGGGATTCTACCCAGATTTCACCCAACCTCTTGCTTTTTCCTCCCCAGCTCTCCTCTGCCATTTTTCCAGGAGTGAGAGCTGCCCGCTGGGTACCACCCAAAGGACTGCTGCTGTGGTCATGCTGGACCCTCTCCACTGCGCCCTTCGGTTCCCGGTCCCCTCCTGGGGGTCTGTTCTGTGTTGAGCCATCCATGGCCCTACTCCTGCTTTACATCTTCATGTCCTTGCTGAGACGTTCTGGCTGTTTGATCCATTTCCAGAGTGTGGTCCTTCATTTGTGGAGCATTCTCATCCCGTGTGCTGTACGGTCTTTGCCAGGCAGTTCCCACCTCTGTGCCACCTCCGTCTCCCACTTGCTGATGCTTCCTGTTCCTTTGTGTGCTGACTCCTGGACATTCTGGACCTTATGTTATGAGATTATGGGTCTCGTTTGCACCTATAAAAATAGTGTTCTTATTGGCTAAAATCCGCAAGTCCCAGCCTGCCTTCTCTGGGGTCAGCTTTGTGTGCACCTGTCTCAGGTGTACCACCCGGCGCCAGTCTGTCCACAGCAATGGAACACATCCAGGCCAGCAGAGGGAAATCAGCAAGTTTAAATAGTGTTTGCGGTTTGACTTAAAAGCATAGCTCCCAGCTCCAGAATGCTGCACCCCTGAGCCACTCCAGCAGCCCTGGACAGGAGTTTAGTTTGAGACGTGCCCTGGGGTGGGATTTGGCACAGCCTTTAGAAGTGGACAGGCAGCTCACGTCCAGCTGGGGCCCTGAGTGCTGAGCCTGGGCCAGTCCCGTCTCCAGATCTGGAGAGCTGCACGCTGCCTGGGGACTAATGAGGTGGTCCCGGGCTGGGCAAGGGCAGGGCAGGAGGGTGGCCCTGGCGGGACGGAGGTCTCTCCACAGAGGGCTGTGTTTCTAATTCCAAAAAGCACCTGGGCCGGGATGGGAGGTCCACAGCAGGGGGGACCCTCTCCGAAGGGAGTGTGCCAGTCCGAGCTGCCCGTCCCTCCCGCCTTCTGCAGGTGTCCCCGGGGTTTGAAGAGAAGGAAGGGGAGCTGCTGGTCAGGGGACCCTCTGTGTTCCGAGAATACTGGGACAAACCAGAAGAGACAAGAAGTGCGTTCACCTCGGACGGCTGGTTTAAGACAGGTAGGGCCAGCTCTGCAGGGGCTGGGGCCACCTGGTGGGCTGCTGTCCTGTGCCTGAGGACCCAGCTTCCCCCAGCTCCCAGAAGAGGGTCCTCAGGCTGACATCCCTCAGGAGACAGAGCCCGCCACACAACGCCCTCTGTCCTCTGGCACATGCGTGTGCACGCCCAGTGGCCTAGCCCCACACGCTCCTTCCAAGTGGTCCTGCGGCCCCTGTCCGGCCACAGCCTTGCCTGTGAGTCCTCCACCTCGGTCAGGGCCACTGTGGTGCTCTATGTGGTCCTGCCCTGTTGCCCCCCACCAAGTCCCTCTGCCCAGTGGCCTGTCCTGCAGCTCGGGGTGTGGGCCAGTGTGGCGTCCTTTCTCCTGAGACACCACCCAGCGCTGAGCAGCCGCCCATCTCCGTCCTGCCTCCTCTGTGAGAAGCGGGCCTGGCCCGGGATCCAGAGTCCTGCAGGACACGGCAGGTATGGGTGTGCCCTGGTGGCAGTGTGGCTTTGGCAGGAGGACACACACAGGAGGAGCCCCTGCCTTCGGTGGGCGCTGGGTAGTTTTCCTCTTCGCCTGCCTTTAGTGTGAACGTGTTCATTTTGTAATTCTTAAGGCAACATTTTTCCAAAAAGCCATTTTCCCACATTGCAGTTTGCTGGCCTCTGTGACAAAGGGGCTTATTCCTTGCTCTTGGGGGCTAGCGGGTCAGGCAGGGCAGGTCTTGTGCGTCTGAGAGAGGTAGGGAGGAGGCCCGTGGCCTCACGAGCGTAGCCCTCAGCCTGGTGGCCCCAACGACCCTGGAAGCAGAGCTTCTCAGCCCACACAGACCCACATGGTCAGGAGGCCACAGGATCCAGCACCCCGGGGGCCCGAGTCACTGGGTCACAGAAGACGAGGACTCAGCCACCTGGAGGTGCAAGTGCAGTTGAGACAACCCCGGGTGAAATTTCAGACGAGGGTCCTCCCTGCTGAGGAGCAGGGACACCCAGGAGCTGCCCCTGCCCCCCAGCACCTGGGGCCTTTGGGGCCATGCACTGGCTCTGGCCATTTACCTCTCAGTCACCTTCCCGTCCTCTCCCAGTGACTCTGGCCCCACTGAGGCTGGGAGGGAGGCCACAGAGAGCACCACAGATGGGCAAGGATAGGGCTAGGCGTGCTGTGGGCAGGCCTGCGGGGTGCTGGAGATGTGCGGGGTGAGCCTTTCATGAGCCCAGAACAGGCTGCTGCCCCTGGGCAGGCTCCACACGGACCACCTTGCCGGGCGTCAGAGGTCGGGAGTCGCCAGCTGTGGTTAGCTTGTTATGTGCCCCGCGGGCCCCTCGGAGCCTCCCACTGGGCGAGCTTTCTGGTGGACACCAGCCTGCCCTGATCATCCCTCAGTGGCCACAGGGAACTCTGCTTCTGAACCGCCCACGTCCCCAGGACCCGAGCCCATGCAGCCCCGCGGAGGCCCTGGTTGGCTCATGGTCACCTCTTTTGGTTTCATTCCCTTTATTTTAAAATGAAGACAAAAGCTGTTGGTTTGTTCTTTTCCCCCCACTTAAAAGCATAGGAACCCAACAGTGTAGGTTTTGCCAAGGCCGGGACACCCGTGTCACCTCTGGGTGACATGCACAGGGTGTCCAGCTGAGAGGAGGGGCCCAGTGCCCTGGTGGCATGACAGGAGCAGCGCAGGCTGGTCGTTGGAGCGGTGTCCATGGAGAAGGTGATATCAAACTCAGCTAGTTTCACTTGGTGTACCGCAGACAGGAAGGGAGCCTCCGCCTGGGCTCACTGCTCTTGGGGGTGAGGCCTGGGGGCGCCCGCCTTTGTCACAGGCCATTAGTGATGCAGCCTGCATAACGAGAGCCTCAGTCAGCTCACAGCTGCCGGGGAGGGGAGCCGATGCTAAGTGGAAATCAGGGTAGGTTAGACTTAACCCTTTCCCTGGCCAGCCCCTCCTGCTGTCACCGTGCTTGGGAAGGGCCAGTCTGCCAGCTCCTCAGCGGCCTCCATGGGTCCGCCGGGACGTCTCTGCCCTGGGAATGTGCAAGGGGCTCCCCACAGGCCCCCACGGTCTCCATGTCTGTGCAGTCAGGAACAGAAGGGTCCCTGGAATAAGTCCCCTGAGCTTCTCCAGACTCACTGCACCCAGGCTGTTCAGAGGACCCCGACGCTTACCTGTCGCCCAGGCAGCGGGTGAGCCCAGGAGCTGGGAGCCTGTAGTAGGCTTCTGCCTGGCTGGTGCCGTGGGCAAATGGCAGCTCATTCCGGGGCTCATTCAAGAGTGACCTGGGCTCAGGAGAGAGGGTCCCTGCCAGTGTAGCTGCAGCAGGGTGGGTGGGATCTTAAAACCATGAATCCTGTTCCTGTGTGTAGCCAGCCAGGGTAGGGAGTGGACAGTGAGTGTCCCAGGTCCCAGCATAGTTACAGGGGTGCGTGAGGGGTGTTGGGGCAGGGCCCTGCTCAGGGAGAGGATGGAGGCATCTGCTCTTGCAGAGAGCAGCCCTGACCCCCAGCACCGAGCTGAGTGGCAGCACATGGAGGCTTGTGGGCACCACGTGCAGGTCCCCCTGCGTTTTCACCCTGTAGCGTGTGGCTGGCTGCTAGGCCACTGCTGCCCTGGCCTGTGTCAGTCTGCAGTGTGCTGTGGACCTTCACCCTGTGCTCTTGCCCGGAGCCATGGTGAGTGCAGACCTGGGAAGGTCATGGCCAGCACCATTGGGCCCACCAAGACCTGGGCTGGGAGTGAGGTTCTGCTTGGCACCTGTCCTGTCAGCAGGTGGGGGCTCTGCATGGGAAGTTCCCCCGGAGAAGCTCAGGCCGGGAGGAGACCACAGGGGAGTCCCTGCAGACAGACGGTGGCCCCAGGCTTCCCGAGACCCAGCCAGGGCCGCAGGAGCGGGCATCTGGGCCAAGGCTCCATGTGTGCTGGGCAGAAAGGAGCATGACCTCTGTGGGCAGCATGGACCCAGGTGGAGCCCCCCCCGGCCTGCAGGCCCAGAGGACATGGGATTTCTTCAGTGGGCAACAGGAAGCCTGGTCCTGCACCTGTCTGGCTATGTAAGCAGCAGCTGTGCCCTTCCAGGGGGGCGTGCCACCCCACAGAGCTATCACGCGAGAGCAGAGAGCCCAGGTATGGGCACCAGCACAGGTCCAGGCCACACCTCCCGCCCAAGCACCCTCTGACCACGGCAGAGATGTGTGCTACCTGTCACTGCAGGCCACCCCATCCCCAACCCGAGGGCAGGTGGCCTGGAAAGAGCACAGCAGCCACCTCTTCTGAGACCCTGCCCCTGCCCACAGCCAAGGAATTGCTCCAGAAAGCCTGAGCCCTACTCAGGAGACCCCAGGCCAGGCCCCAGCTCCACGTCTGACCCCACAGTGACCTGGCCGTTCAGCAGAACTGGGAAGTCCAGCTGTCACCTGAGGCTGCAGCCGTGTGGGCGAGGGTTGCAGAGGGTTGCCGGCCTGAGCCGTGCTTAGAGTCCAGCACTTGCTTGCCCTGCATGGTCACCAGGGCGGGTCACCAGCCACAGAGTATAGCTGAGTCTCCGACGGGGTCAGTGGAGGCCAGGCACATGCTTGGGCAGCTAGAGGCACGGGGCAGGTTGACACAGAGTGTCTTGCCAGCCATGGGAAGCTGTGACCCTGTGACCTCAGGGTGTACACACTGGGGACAGGTCTGCAGAAGGCCCAGCATGGCCCATGGCAGGGCAGAGGACCTCGCAGGTGCCTGAGAGGTCGGTAGAGGGTCTGACCCAGTCACTGGGCTTCCTGCTGCTCCCCAGCTCCAGCTCCAGGCAGAGCTGCCGCCCACTCCTGGCCTGGCCTGGCCTGGCCGCGGCGCACAGTGCGCGTCCCAGGGCCCTGCTCGGTAGCACCGCAGTGTCCAGGCTGCATGAATGCCAGGCTGCATCTGGCCTTCATGGCCCTCCTCTGGCTCCTGGCCAGCGCTGCAGGCATGTCCAGGAAAACCCAGAGGCTCAGCCCTGCCATCAGGCTGCCTTCTCCCTCAGCTTCTGAATTCTGGGGTCTTCGGAGGCTTTGAGGCTGATGCCTGACTCCTTCCTCCCACTGACTCCAACAAGGTGCGCCCCCTCATGGCCCGAGCCGTGGACCAGGCGCCCTTGCTCCTGAGGGCCAGGAGGTGCCTTGCAGAGCTGAGTCCTGAGCGTCCCCAATTCCTTTATTACGTCACCTGCGCCCGCCCTCATCCCTGTCCTGTGCTGCCGCCCCCTCTGTCCCTCGGTGTAGAGTGTTGTCCTGGTCCTTCCCCACACAGGGCCTCTCCTCCCTGATCCCAAGGCATTTCCTCCCTGGGGATATCCACCTGCCCATCCCCAAACCTCCGCGTGCCTGGTCTCAGAAGTGAGAGGCGGAATCTCAGGCGCTGGCAGTGTGGGGCACCCCCAGAGGGCAGAGGGAAGGCCCAGAGCCCCTCACAGCCCGGGTGAGTGGAGTGTGGGGGCCCTCGGGAGCCTGTGTGTGCCAGACTGTCTTTACCCAGGGGCTCAGCTGGGGCCAGGCTGTCCCAGCAGAGGGCACCAGGAGAGTCAGGACCTCACGGGGAGGTGTAGGTGGGGCCTCGGGGGCAGGAGGAACATCCGGGGAGGCCAAGTCCAGGGCAGGACAATGGCCCCCCTGCGCACTCCCCCACACTGGCATCGGGGTGGCTAGAGGCCCAGGGGAGCCGGGTCAGAAACCTACCTGCAGGGACCCCAGTGCCAGGCAGCACCTCCCTTGGACAGTGAGCAGCCTGAGGATGCAGCCCTGGGGCAGGAGAGCCAGCACTGGGGCATTGGTGTGCTGAGGAAAGCCATCGACCAGCAAGTGGCCATGCTTGGGATCCCAGTGACTAGAGGCTGAGGCAGGAGCATCGCAAATTCAAGGCCATCCTCAACAACTGAACACGACCTCGTCTCAGAAAAAATAAGAAGGGCTGGAGATGTAGCTCAGTGGTAGATTGCCCCTGGGTTGAATCCCCAGTAACCCCCCCCCAAAAAAAAGAAAAGGGGCGGGTGTGGCC